TCAGAAACTACGTATTAATTGCATTGATTTGTTGTTGTACGAATGAGAAGAATAACAAAACAAAACAAGTTTCCGAGTACGAGAAACTCCGTACCGCGAGAGATATGAATGATATTCTTTCTCTTTCTCTCTCACGTAAAATCAAAAGTTTCCCAAAAAAAGAGTCCTAGTGTGGACCGGCAGTTACACAACAAAATAAAAAGGTGACCGAAAAATGTAGTACCAAAACGTTTCTCAAACATAGTTATCAAATTTTCGAAATAAATTGATAGAAGCTATAGTGGATGACAGATTTGAAATTTTCTGATTAATGGTGAAATACCGATTCGTTTGGTATACGAAACTATCCGCTTCGATATCTCTCAATTTTCCAATTCATGGGGGTTTTAAGTCTTGATGTCGTGCTAATAGGTTACAGATTCCGAGAGAAATATGACTACGACAGATTTTCGCAAAAAACATCGCCCTCTTATTTCTTTTCTTTTAGGTTTTTGAGTCCAGATTTCTCCTAAATAAATCTCGATTTCCCGTCAATACATCAGAGATTCTGCGAAAAAACAAAATGCGAGAACTTTTCGTCATAACGATTACAAAGATTATTCACTTGAGAATGATCTCAAAATATCGCGCATTTGGATAATTTGATACCACTTAAAAGTGCGCAAATTTAACTTATGTCTTAAATCGTTCGGATCGTTAAGTCTTAATCGTGGAAATCAGTACGATTGAATGACCGCGATCATTGCAACAACGAAAATTGTGTCATTTGATGGTACAGTCCTAAACCTACCCCTAGCTACCGACTGCCCAGGTGACTAGCTATTTTAACGTGTTCTTGTCCTACAAGGAAGTTAATCGTCACCACATAGAGTACGAAGAGACAGACAAAAAGCTTAAGTTTGTTTTTAAGTGTCCACTCTTTCTTTTACCAAGACTACATCCAACCAGGTAATAAGATGTTAGTGGAAATCACTGTCTTTTTCGGATGCATTGACTCTTTGTCGAACTGCTGGGTACTTATAAGTAATGAAATAAATTCTTCTATACTGTTTCGTAAATAGAATGTACTGCTTCATTAATAAAATGAAAAGGGAAATAATGCACTCTTAACAACACAGGAGATCCAACTCGTATGAGGATATAGTGATCTTACGGTAATAGAATCGAAAAAAGTTTATAGTATATTTTATTACAAACGATATTAAATGATTTGTATGCAAAAATTAATTCTTTTAACCGCTTTTTTACAATGTAATTAACAGAATGATAAAAAAAAATCAATCAATAAACATCATTAAAAAATTAACTTTAGTATTTTATATAAATTTTTTTCAATCTTTCAATCAATATTTAAATTAAAAAAATATTATACAATCATTAAGCCTGTTAAAATGCTTGTTTCATAATAATAATAGTTTATTTAAAAAAAAACAAAAAAAATGTTATTGTTAATGTTAACTCAAACCTGGGCCATTATTAATTGTTTACAACTATTTTGCAATATTTTTGTTATTTACTCTTTGATTGGGTAGGAAGTTAAATTAAAAACAACATAAATATGTTAATCAGTTGCAGATATTTTTCTATATATTATTATAGATTTTTTTTATATAAAATAATAATAATAAATACGTATTAACAATCATTGAACCAAACATTAAACAATTACAATTTGAATGTTAATACTCATTAAAAAAAGAGGTTATATTTTATTTAAAATGCTACAAATTCAATTCAATTATTTTATATCTTTTTCGAAATCAAGGCACAATGTCAGTCACAATAGTTATTTAAGTTGATATATAATTGTTCATTTGACACTAGGTTATAGTTTTATTGTAATTATAACCTTTACGCAAAAGTTAAGTTATAATAAGAACAAAATAAAATTTAATTCAATTATAGACAAATTTAAAAGAAAAAAAATTTTAGAAAATTTTCAGTGATTACTTTCATTTCTAGCAATAAATAGGAAAAAATTATAAAAAAAATCCATTCACTTTATTAGTTTCTTTTTCAAACCACAACATAAACTGTTTAAGTTTTTAACCAATTTTTTTCTTTGGTTATTGCTTACAAAAATTCATAGTTAATTTAACCAAACAAACAAAAATTTTATATACTTTTTTTGTTTAAAGGGGGGTGGATTTCACAAACTATTGATTGCATTGCTTCATTAAAGTAAGTAAACAGTTATTAATCAAACAGGGACCACCTACCACAAATAATCAAAATAATCTTTAGTACTTTAGCGTAAACAAAATCCTCGATTAAAGAATAATACAAATTCAAAGGAAAACTATAGAAAGAAGAAAGAAAGTATAACATACAATTAGGAGAGTTGGTGGGGAAAGTAGAAAGTTTTAAAGAAAAAGTTTGTTATTACAAAAAGTAAATTATAAGAGAAACAAATATTAAAGAAAATGAAAAAGTTTTTTTTTTTTTGAAAAGCATAATTTCCTTAGAAAATTGTATAAAAAAGTATTAAAAGGGATATTGAATCAATAAACTTTATACATTTAAGTTTATAAAGGTTTAAAATTGTGTGTTTTTTTAGAATTCTAAAATAGTTATTAAATTTCTTAAATTTAACTTATAGTCTATAAATAAGTATATTTCTTAATTAAAGTAATATTTTAGTTTTATTGCAGTGTTTTTATCTTAATAAACTTTAGCATACCTTGAAGCTTTTACAGTTTAAACAAAATTAAGCATACCTTTAGGTGCTTTAAAGTATATTTGTTACTTTATAACTCAACTTATTTAACTAAACCATACTAGATGTTTTTTGAATAAAGATCTAAAATTTCGAAATATCTGGTCCTATTGGAGGCAAAAGTTTACATGGGAGTAGTCAAGGATTATTTGAGTTTTTAAAATTTAATATAAATCCTTCAGTTTCCCCATAGTGCGATGCGTTACATACATTTTGGAAATTTTGGACTTAGAAGAACAAAATTATATATAAATGCAGGGGCTTTATTGGAATCTAAGGCAACCTATGCAAGTCCAGAAGGTTAAAATGTTCTACAAATAATCTTTATTAATAAATTATGTTTGATATTTAACATGGTTAATATCGGTCTACGTTTCGAGCTAGTCTTAATACAACTGGCTCCCGAAATTCAGCTTTGTTTGATAATTAAAACGGTTAATATAGGTCTACGATTCGACCTGGGCCCCGGAATTCAGTTTAAACTGTCTGTAATATTTCGACCAATCGTAAGTTAGGTTTTAATTATAATACAAAGTATTACAAAATATTGAGCCACATTTGAGCCTAGACCCCATTTAAGGTTACAGAAATCATATTGCAAAATATGACGAAAATCGGACTACAGTTGACCTCAGCCCCCATATAAATTTATTGAAATTTTTCTATAAAAAAGAAAAATTATTGATAATTTTCTATAAAAAAGAAAATTTGTTGAAATTTTCTATAAAAAGAAAATTCGTTGAAAATTTTCTATGAAAAGAAGATTTTTTGAAAATTTTCTATAAAAAAGAAAATTTATTGAAAATTTTCTATAAAAATGAAAATTTATTGAAAATTTTCTATAAAAAGAAAATTTGTTGAAAGTTTTCTATTCATCGAAAATTTTCTATAAAAAGAAAATTCATCGAAAATTTTCTATAAAAAGAAAATTCATCGAAAATTTTCTATAAAAAGAAAATTCATCGAAAATTTTCTATAAAAAGAAAATTTATCGAAAATTTTCTATAAAAAGAAAATTTATCGAAAATTTTCTATAAAAAGAAAATTTATCGAAAATTTTCTATAAAAAGAAAATTTATCGAAAATTTTCTATAAAAAGAAAATTTATCGAAAATTTTCTATAAAAAGAAAATTTATCGAAAATTATCTATAAAAAGAAAATTTATCGAAAATTATCTATAAAAAGAAAATTTATCGAAAATTATCTATAAAAAGAAAATTTATCGAAAATTTTCTATAAAAAGAAAATTTATCGAAAATTATCTATAAAAAGAAAATTTATCGGAAATTTTCTATAAAAAGAAAATTTATCGGAAATTTTCTATAAAAAGAAAATTTATAGAAAATTTTCTATAAAAAGAAAATGTACCGAAAATTTTCTATAAAATGAAAATGTATCGAAAATTTTCTCTAAAAAGAAAATGTATTGAAAATTTTCTATAAAAAGAAAATTTATCGAAAATTTTTTATATAAAGAAAATTTATTGAAAATTTTCAATAAAAAGAAAATTTATGAAAATTTTTCTATAAAAAGAAAATTTATTGAAATTTTTCTATAAAAAAAGGAAAATTTATGGAAATTGTTCTATAAAAGAAAATTTATTGAAATTTATCAATAAGAAGATTTCAATAAAAGATTTTCAATAAAATTTTATCAAAAATTTTTTACAAAAAGAAAATTTTATTAAAAATATTCTATAAAAAGATACATTTTTAAAAAATTTTCTATAAAAAGTAAATGTTATCAAAAATTTTCGAAAAATTTTTAAAGAAAAATTTTTAATAAATTTTCTTTTTATAGAAAATTTTCAGTAAATTTTCATTTTATAGAAAATTTTCAGTAAATTTTCATTTTATAGAAAATTACGAAACTCACAATCGGTAACAACATACAACATCTTATGAATTTAATTCAAAATTAAGTCTTTCTTATATATAAAACTATTTTAATATTACTTAAATACATATTTATTACAAAAATATTTTATAAACATTAAATTTTGTTAATAAAATTTTATGTTTTTTATGGAAATCAGTTTTAAAACAATACTTTTCTATAGCATGAAACTAATAAATGTAAATATTTCATTAACAAAAATCACAATTATACACGATATTATAATAAAACAAAACCAAAAAATCTTGTTGAAATAATTATAAAAAAAATAAAATTTTATATTAAAAGCTTTTAAATGTATGGTTTTTAAAAACATACTTTTATAACAAATAGCATAAAATAATTAAAACAATTTAGCACAGAGAAAAATATGCAAACAACACTTACCTTCAGGCCATTGTACACAAACTGTTGTTGTGAAATGTATAACAAGTTGAGTTGATTTGAATTTTGAATTCATGAATGATGAGTTTACAATAAAAATTAGGCGTTGACAGGCATCGATATCAGGCGTATATATTAAAGCACGATAGTAGTAGATCATAAAAAAATAAAGGAAAAAATATATATTTTTTGTTAGAATTATGTAATAGCAATAATTATTAAAGTTAAATTATAAATATTTTTTGGACACATATGTATACAAATGTGTGGAACTAAGGCCAGTTGTCGAAACAGCTTAAAACGGATTTTGAATACATACATAACACGCTTTAAACTGCTTCCCAATAAAGTCTTAGTGTTAGATATTTTAAAATTATTATTTTTTTGTTGTTTGATTTTGTTTTATAAGGTTTAATATTATGTTTTTTGTAAATTGACAATCATGCTGTGTTTAACATTATATCATGCGATTTCAAGTTACACAAGACATTTTAGAATAATTTTATTTGATTAATTTGTTTTTTTTTAAAATTGTTGTTTAAATTTTTTAAGATACTAAGTATTTCTCAAAAAGTAGACATTGATGTAGGCTATAGAAAAAAAAAAAAAAAACAAAATTGCCCCAAATAGTCCGAAATTTCGAACGAAATTATATTTTGGTCTCAATCTTAACAATTTCACACAAAATTCGTGATATAGAAACTGTTTCCCAGAACTGCTCCAGAAAATTTTCTATTAAAAAAAAGTTTCAGGAACAATCTGTATAAAAAAGAAAGTTTCTATAAAAAGTAAATTTATCGACAATTTTTTATGATAAAGAGAATGTATCCAAAACTTTTTATTAAAAAGAAAATTTATCGAATTTTTTTTTTTATTTAAAAGAAAATTTTCTATAAGAAAATTTATCGAAATTTTTCTATAATAAGAAAATTTATCGAAATTTTTCTATAATAAGAAAATTTATCGAAATTTTTCTATAAAAAGAAAATTTATCGAAATTTTTCTATAATAAGAAAATTTATCGAAATTTTTCTATAATAAGAAAATTTATCGAAATTTTTCTATAATAAGAAAATTTATCGAAATTTTTCTATAATAAGAAAATTTATCGAAATTTTTCTATAATAAGAAAATTTATCGAAATTTTTCTATAATAAGAAAATTTATCGAAAATTTTCTATAATAAGAAAATTTATCGAAAATTTTCTATAATAAGAAAATTTATCGAAAATTTTCTATAATAAGAAAATTTATCGAAAATTTTCTATAATAAGAAAATTTATCGAAAATTTTCTATAATAAGAAAATTTATCGAAAATTTTCTATAATAAGAAAATTTATCGACAATTTTCTATAATAAGAAAATTTATCGACAGTTTTCTATAATAAGAAAATTTATCGACAATTTTCTATAATAAGAAAATTTATCGAAAATTTTCTATAATAAGAAAATTTATCGAAAATTTTCTATAATAAGAAAATTTATCGAAAATTTTCTATATTAAGAAAATTTATCGAAAATTTTCTATAATAAGAAAATTTATCGAAAATTTTCTATAATAAGAAAATTTATCGAAAATTTTCTATAATAAGAAAATTTATCGAAAATTTTCTATAATAAGAAAATTTATTGAAAATTTTCTATAATAAGAAAATTTATTGAAAATTTTCTATAAGAAGAAAATTTATTGAAAATTTTCTATAAGAAGAAAATTTATTGAAAATTTTCTATAAGAAGAAAATTTATTGAAAATTTTCTATAAAAAGAAAATCTATTGAAAATTTTCTATAAAAAGAAAATGTATTGAAAATTTTCTATAAAAAGAAAATCTATTGAAAATTTTCTATAAAAAAGAAATCTATTGAAAATTTTCTATATAAAGAAAATTTATCGAAAATTTTCTATAAAAAGAAAATTTATCGAAAAAAAATATATAAAAAGAAAATTTATTGAAAAAAAATATATAAAAAGAAAATTTATTGAAAAAAAATATATAAAAAGAAAATTTATTGAAAAAAAATATATAAAAAGAAAATTTATTGAAAATTTTCTATAAAAAGAAAATTTATTGAAAATTTTCTATAAAAAGAAAATTTATTGAAAATTTTCTATAAAAAGAAAATTTATTGAAAATTTTCTATAAAAAGAAAATTTATTGAAAATTTTCTATAAAAAGAAAATTTATTGAAAATTTTCTATAAAAAGAAAATTTATTGAAAATTTTCTATAAAAAGAAAATTTATTGAAAATTTTCTATAAAAAGAAAATTTATTGAAAATTTTCTATAAAAAGAAAATTTCCCTTCATCCTGTAGAAGTTTATCAGCCCGGTTTGCGTTAAGACCACTACATAATAATCATAAACAAGGTATTATAACCACCGTAATAATGGAGAATATTTAAATCAGATTAAAGCGATGACACAATAAGTAATATACTACAACTACATAATACGATATCATAACTTTATAATCAGTAGTGGGTAATTTTGCAAATCCTTCGAAAGAAGTAAAAAGTAATTTTGATGTCCAGTTTCACTATGCTAAATAACACATAAGAAATTTGTTTCGTAAACAATTATAAAACTAAAATTACCTATGTATGTGTGTTGCCCATTACTGCACTTTGTCTTCTCCTTAATCTCCTATTGAACTTTAGTCATTTATACACATTTCTCCTATAAAAATATTTACTTTATCGTCTAAAGTTGAATAACTTACACCGAATGTTTATTTAGTAAGAAAAGTATTGATGATTCCTCCATAAAAATTAAGTAAATAAGAATATTTATAGAATAAGAATATAAATGGCAATATTTTTTTTTTGCAATAAAAATCGATTGGCTCTACTTGACTGGAAAACAAAAATAAAGTATTTAACCAGGGATATATAAACATAAACAGTACACATGTGTGGCCTCTAAATGCAATAATTTTTACTAAAATGTGAATTTATTACTTAAAATTATTGTTCTTTTTTATACGACAGCACTTTTCTAAAGTTATAGGTAAAAGAAGAAGATGAAGAAGAACAACAAAAAAGTACTTAACTTAAAACTTAAACTGAATAAACTACTGTCATTTATCTCTGAAATGAAGCTAAATACAAAGTAGAGAATGTAAAGTAAAAACAACTGTTGGGGTATTAAATACACAAAAAAAGGTGCACATCCTGCATTAGACATTAAAAAAAAGATGTAAAAGACACATAGATTTTATTTAGTTAAACAGTAGATACTTGATAAAAGGTACACTTTTTATAACATATCATTTTTTCCTTTTTTACTTAACTATAGCTTTAGAAATGGTAATAGTTTTTCTTTACTTAAACTATTTAGTTTTGTTTTATTTAATTCTTATTATCGAGAGTCTACTGTACTTCCTTATATATTTAAATCTGTATGCTCTTACCGCTTTTAAAGTGTAGGTGGGTATCTATGTAGTCACTACCATTATTGCACATAAACTTAGACATGTGTGTTCAAGTACTTTTAAGAGATTTGAAAAAAGAAGTAGTATTTATTTAAGAGGCTTTTCAATATATGTACCTAACTCAAGTAAATATATGTATGTAGATTAGAGTGCTCCAAAAAAACGAAGTTGCGAATTTTGCCCGTCCCCCCCTCTAGAATTGTTCTATGGGTTGTAAAACTATGTCATACAAAAAATTAGGCTGATAGGATAACGTTAACAGGTGCCGCAACGGCACTAAAGTTTCCAAGTGCATTTACAAGGGGAAAAAATCGATTTTTTCAGTTTTTGCTAAAATTTTGCCACTTAATAATAAACTTTACAATGTATTGTGATGGAATCGCAATGTACACATAATAAGCTTTTCGGAAAGATATAAAACACAAAAATTGGTTGAAAATTTTTAAAGTTATTGCAAATTCCCCAGGCCATTAACGTGTCTCACAGCACATGAATTCGAAATGTGACAAAAAAATTAAAATTTTTTAGGACATATTGTAAAAAAACCATTTTGTTACTTAAAATATACTAAAAATTACTTGAATACTAGCTTTTGTCCTTATACGATAACGCAAACTTGTTCTCAGCTATGGTCAAAAAAGTTTGATTTTTTCAACGGCCGTTTCAAATCTCCAATTTCAGTTTTTTTGAAACTTTGTTAAACAAATTTTAAAATTTTTAGAAGATCTCATAGGAATTTATGGACAATAGATAAGGGAATAAAACGGTAAAAAATTAGATCAATAATTCTTACAGTTTAGCTGTACCTGCGATTTGAACTCGGCGGATTTCGGGAAAATCGCATTTTTTTGTAATATATTAGAGAATACGTATTAATTTTTTACTGTTGTACATTTTAAACAAAGTATTTTCAGAGTATTATAGACCAGATAATATAAAATATATATTCCAAGTTTTATTTAATTCGGACATTCTTAACCCATAAAATGTGGAGTTCAAAGGTCAAATTTTGCTATATTTGGGAATTCTCAGTGTACCATATCGAAATATTATGTATTTGTCGGTCATATTTAATAAAGATGACTTGAATTTTTAGTATAAAGTCTTATGTTTAAAATAGCAGCGAAAAAAAGTAAAATTAACCCTTTAAAACACATGGGAAAAATTTAACCCCGAAGATCAAAAAATCGTAAAAACACTATCCATTTGAATAATGCTCTATATAATTAGAGGAATAACATAAATAAAACAAAAAAATATATATTAGGTATAAAAACTTATGAATTAACCCTTTTTGAACCTATAAAGTTTGTATTTTTAGACATATTATGTCGAAAATGGTCCGAAAAAATGGACTACATAAATTATCAGTTTTAAAAACAAAATTTTTCTTTTAAAAATGTACACCTATAGTTTACTCCATAGTCGAAAAGGGTTAAAGTATAATTTTTTATACTTAATATATACGTTTTTGTTATATTTCTGCTATTTCTCTAATTATAAAGAGCTTTATTCAAATGGATAGTGCTTTTTCAAATTTTTGAACTTTGGTGTTAAATTGTTCCCAAGTGCCTTAAAGTGTTAATGTACCTTTTTTTCACTCTATTTTAAATATCGGACTTTATACGATAAATTCCAGTAATTTTTGGTAAATATGGCCAACAAATAAATAATATTTTAATATGGTGCACTGAGAATTCCCAAATATAGCAAAATTTAACCTTTGAACTCCACATTTTATGGGTTAAGAATGTCCGATTTGAATAAAACTTGGAATATATATTTTATATTATCTGGTCTATAATACTCTGAAAATACTTTGTTTAAAATGTACAACAGTAAAAAATTAATACGTATTCTCTAATATATTACAAAAAAATGCGATTTTCCCGAAATCCGCCGAGTTCAAATCGCAGGTACAGCTAAACTGTAAGAATTATTGATCTAATTTTTTACCGTTTTATTCCCTTATCTATTGTCCATAAATTCCTATGAGATCTTCTAAAAATTTTAAAATTTGTTTAACAAAGTTTCAAAAAAACTGAAATTGGAGATTTGAAACGGCCGTTGAAAAAATTAAACTTTTTTGACCATAGCTGAGAACAAGTTTGCGTTATCGTATAAGGACAAAAGCTAGTATTCAAGTAATTTTTAGTATATTTTAAGTAACAAAATGGTTTTTTTTACAATATGTCCTAAAAAATTTTAATTTTTTTGTCACATTTCGAATTCATGTGCTGTGAGACACGTTAATGGCCTGGGGAATTTGCAATAACTTTAAAAATTTTCAACCAATTTTTGTGTTTTATATCTTTCTGAAATGCTTATTCTGTGCACATTACGATTCCTTTACAATAAAGTGCAAAGTTTATTATTAAGTTGCAAAATTTGAGCAAAAACTGAAAAAAATCGATTTTTTCCCCTTGTAAATGCACTTGGAAACTTCTGAGCCGTTGCGGCACCTGTTAACGTTATCCTATCAGCCTAATTTTTTGCATGACATAGTTTTACAACCCATAGAACAATTCCAGAGGGGGGGACGGCCTGTCGGATAAATTTTTTTTTCCTTCATACAAGCTTGGAGCACTCTAATGTAGATTTCTAATGCTGCAGTAGTTAGTTTACTACTATGTGGCATATATATTGAAGATAAAAATGTTAATGTACGACGAGTGCAATTCTCCTGTTATTCTTTCCAAGTATCAAGGTCAGAAACACAGTGCTTATATGAAATGAATTTTAAAAAGATCGTAGAAACGTTTGTGTTATTCCTTAAGGTAACAATGAGGAGGAAAGGTTTTAAAATGTGGTTTAAATGAAAGTGAGTAGTAAACAAAAAGCTCTAAAGAAGAGCTAAAATTTCATTGTACGCCTGGAGTAACTATACTGAAATGATTCTGAATTTAAATATTTTAAATATATCGAATTTGCTGTAGTGATCGCAGCTAGACATTACCATAAGCCATAACCGATTAATATTCCTATTAAAGTTTTGACATCAGACGCCTCAGTTCCTTTAGAGGCGGAACGGCACTCACACACAGAGGTTCTTTACTAAGACACTTTAGAATGTTTCACTTGATAGTTTTGATGTATCTTTGTGTGTGTTTTTTTTTTTTAAATCGGAATAGGGAACTGTAAACTTCCGAATAACTGAATTTTAGAACTTGGTCCTATGTGGGTCTAAAGTCAATTATGGAAGGATTTTCACGACTTACATAAGTTTATTTTAAATCATAACACAAGCATCCAGGCAATAACGGAATGTGTAAATTGGATTAGAATAAATATGACGCCCACAACCCTTAATATATTTACCAACAACCAGAAGGCAATTAGGGCGATATCAGGAGATAGAATTAAATCTAAGACCTTATTGGATTGTAAGAAAGCTTTAACTGAATAATCTCCCAGAGTTAAGGTTTACATCATATGGGTACCAGGCCACTCGGGAGTAGTCGGCAATGAAAGGGCGAATGTAATAGCTTTAAAGGGAAGGGATATCGAGGTTGTTAACCTGACAAACGCAAAACCATTCGACGCAACAAAAGCTGAATTAAAAATATGGGTGAGTGAATCCCATAATTCTTCTTGGAATAATGAAACGGTGGGTAGAACCACAAAGATCCTATAGGGTGACCCTGATGAGAACAAGACGAGAAATCTCCTTAAAATGAGCAAGTCTGAAGTTAGTATGATGAGTATTCACACAGGACGGCCAATTTTGTCTAGATGTGCTCGTAATCTATACAAAATTGGCCGTGCGGATTCAGATGAATGTAGAGCATGTGGAGAGGACAGTGAAACTCTCCGATTTTCGCCATATTAGAAACATTATTCAAAATGGTCCTATGTGGGAACGATGCCAATTGTGGAACGATTTATTAGTATCTATATTTATTATGAAATATATTGCGATATAAAGTTTTATATAGCGAAATGTTTAAGATATTATTGGAGGCCTTATTGTTCGATACCACTTCGAATTTCACAGAATGATTAAAACTAACTTCTTATCACAATAATGATATTAATACGAAATGTATAAGCATCAGTGCGCCATTGACTGAGCGTTACTTTTTTGAAAATCAGAAATTCTCTATCTTATCAGGTTTTCCAGATATTTTAACTTAAAAGTTGAAAAAACTCAGATTTTTGCCATATTGAAGACTTTATTCAAAATTTGGAGGTCCAGAGACTTGAGTAAACTGTTTTAATGGTTTAAATTAAGTTATATTTCAAATATGACCTCAGATTTTCTCCAACACGTCAGATTTTTGAGATATATTTACATAAAATTTTATGAAAATCTGTCATATTCAAGAAATTCATTAAAAAGTTATATCATCTGAAAGTCCTATATATTGGCCTTAACTCTTCTTACTTCTTTGAGATATTTTAAACTAACGTTTAAATAAAACTTTTTTTCCGCGTCAGACAGACAATTGGACTTTGTTCAATCGAAAGTAATTCGATCCAATCGGTACAGGGTAAGACCTTAATTATTAAAGTTAAAACAAATTATAGATTTTAATTACAAATTATACTTTTTAAAACTCGATTTACTAAACTATAATGCTGTTGTAGTGAAAGAGAGAAGAGTCTCTGTTGGGAATCGAACCTGTAACCTCCAGACAGAGAGACTATCGGGTCAACTTGCATATAATACAAAATATATCGTTTTACTTTTAAATTAAGATTTAAAAAGAAATTCAAAAGTTATCATCTTCCAACAAAAGTACAAGGATTTACTTTTAACTTAAATTAAGACAATTTTATTTTTAACCTAAATTTTCTTTTAAATTAACTTTTTCTCAAGAATTCTCTACAATATGTTTGTTGTTAATTAAAGATTTTGTATTCTTTTTTTGTTTTACTTACAACATGCAAAATAACATGCCTGTAATATTCTTAATTTATATTTACAATAAATACACACACACACACAATCAAACAAAATATATGTATAAAAAAACAACACATTCCTTTTTTAATGAAAAAAAAATCTTTTGTTTAAATTTATAGTTTTTTTTACATTTCATATTGTTTTTTTGACTTGCAAAGACAATAACAAAAATGCAATTAATAATAAGGGGAGGAGTAGGAGGAAACAACGACAACAAAAGATCAATAGGAAGTTAAAACAAGGAAGAGAGTATTAAAATTCAAACAAACGAATACAATTGTGGGAGTAAGTGTGTGTGTAATAGTAAATAGTAATAAGTAGCAGTAAAAGAGTAGCAGCATTCAAGGGATATTTAACATTTAATAAAGTATACTATTTGTGTTGTTTTTTTTTTAGTAGTAAAAATAGTAAAATTATTGAGTTGTGGTAGTTTGTAGTAAGTAAGTAGTAAATACTTTTTTTTTTCGTTTGGTTAACACCAAGAAGAAATTGTTAAAATAGTTTCAACAAAACTAAAACATGCATAGAGTTTTATGCATTTAATATTATTATATTCTTAATATAGAATATTAGTTGTTGCTACTTTTTATTTTGGCAAACACTTAAGAAAAATAACATAAAATAGTTAACAGAAAATGTTGGTTAAAGAGTAGTATATTATAACTATATAGTTTACTAGGTTTTTTAGTAATATTTTGTTATAAATATTTTATTGTTTTAATGTAAAAGCTCACCTAGAGCTGGAGCCGGTATGGCACCATCTTTTGTCAGTACAACTAATCATTTATTTGCATTGATCAAGTTTATTTTGGTTTTGTTTTGGTACATGTTTGAAGTGGATAGTTTTTTTTTTTCATATAACGGGTTATAAAATTGGTGTATTTGGTAAAAATGGAAAAAAAGAAAGAAAAATAAATTTATTTTATTAAGTAACTTTTAAATTTACTATTTTTTATGTAAATTTTGTTAATTTAATTTATTAGCATAGAGTTAATGCAGTTTGTTATCATAAACATTTTATTAGCTTATGACTTAATTTCTAAAATATTTAAAGTTTTTGAAAAATTTAAAGGGGAGGGGAACAGTTTTTTTCATTAGTAGAAAAATTAAACTTAAAAGTTATTGTTGTAAGTAAAATTTAACATTTAAACTTTCTGTTTTAGATAAGTGTTCGAGTACATGTGGACGTGATGTAATCAGTTTTTCAAAAACTCTCTAAAAATAATTATCTAAAAATATACATCTGTCTATATCCTATAAAAATTGCCTTCATAGTACTGGTTAGAATGGAGACAATAGTGGGCTTGATATTTACATATGAGTCTCACCTAAGCGTTTCTTGAACTCAAAGTGTATAGCTCACTGAGGCATAATCGTAGTGATCATACAATTATCTCTCCGACCAGTTGGACATAATGCCCGAAATACCTCTACAAGAATTTGAATGATCAGCTTATCAAATCTTAACTCAATGAGTCATGTTCACAGCACGAGAATTATATACCGATAGGATATGTCAACCTTGCATTAAGATTTCCATCTGCACTGACAGTTTAAAAACATCTATATATTTTTTTTCTGATTTCTACTTAGATGTAGGTCTAGTTTCTGTTCATGTTACTGTCCAGATATAGGACCATTTATTAGACATATTATACATATGTATATGGGGCCGAATGCTGATCATAAAATAAATGGTCTTATTTTTGTTCAGATATAGTGCTAGTTACTGTCTCCATTGCTTGCTAGATATAGGACTAGATACTGGTCATACTTCTATCTAGATAAAGGGCAGGTACTGGACATATTTCAGACTCGATATATTAAAAGTTTCTAGTCAAAAAAGTCCATATTTCTGCCCAGATATACATAGATCCAGTTACTAGTCATACCTCTATCCAGATATAGACCGGTCTAGATATAAGGTCAGTTTCTAGTCTATATAGAACACGTTAATAGTCCTATCTTTATCTAGATATAGACCGGCCTAGATATAAGGTCAGTTTCTAATCATATAAGGCTTTTACACATACGTTGTCTAAATGTTAACAAACGTGGTAAGTTCACTATTGCAAACAATCCGTTGCCAATAGTGAGCTTACCACGTTTGTTAACATTTAGACAACGTATGTGTAAAAAATTTAGATTTCGACAACGAATTGTTGCAATGTTGACAACGTTGCGACATAGTGTTGTCGTACGTATGTATATACTTTGACAACGGTTGTTATTGAAAAATTACAAACTCTTTGGTGCCAATTTGGTACCAAGCGTGTATATTTCTTTTTCCCTCTGTGTACTTCTGCGTAGATATAGAAGCAGTTACTAGTCGTACCTCTATCTAGATATAGACCCAATCACAGATCACAAATATAGTATCAGATATGTTAGATATATGATAAAATTTCTGTCAAGATAAAGGGTCAGTTACTATCCATATTGCTGTCTAGATATAAGGACAGTTACTGACCATATTACTTTCTAGACCATAGGACAAGTTACTATCCAAATACCAAGTTACTGTTGATTATATTTCGGTCTAGATATAGGGACAGTTACTGACTATATATATAGCGTTAGATAAGTTAGATACAATATGATATTTCTACCTATATGTAGGGTCAGCTAGCAACTTATTGTCCACATTGCTATAGGACCATATAGGACCAGTTACTTGCTACCATACTCCTGTCTAGATATAGGGACTTGATATATTACCAAATACTAGACACATACTTAGGGCCTTATTTCTGTCCAGATAAAGAATCAGTTACTTTAGTCTGTCTGAGTATGAATATCCACAGATATAGGACCAAATAGGTTAGATATATGATCCAATTTCTATCTAGATAAAGGGTCAGTTACTATACATCTCGCTGTCTAGATATGGGGCAAGTTACTGACCAAATGTCTGACTAGATAAGGGGCAAGTTACTGACCAAATGTTTGACTAGATAAAGGGCCATTTACTATCCAAATATATGTCTACATTTAGGACTAGTTTTTGGTCATATTTCTGTCCAAGTAGCAACCAAAAACTTGACCTCTAATTCTCTCTCAATATTTGATAACAGCATCGAGTTTCAGCCCAAATTTTATATCATCAATGAGGCCACATGAAAACATGAATAGTTCGGCATGAATGTAGTAACGCTCTCAACTACAACTCATTGCTCAAGCTCAGACATCACTTTCTTTCAGAATATGAGGCCATGTCGATGAAGGCTCAGTAAGCATAGTATTCCTGGAAGGATTTATTGGGCTATACTTATGAACATATTCTTCTAATATCTACAACATTGAACTTATCTATCTAATTATCAAAATCTAGACTTACATACTTGAATGGTCTCTGTACGGTTCAAAAGTTTATAATTGCTTCACAGTCTAAAATATCTTAAAACAGATTTTATAATCACCTTACATATTGCGGTTCAAAACCTTTAAAAATACTATATATTTTCCAATTACTCTTCCCACTATCGCTCCATTCTGTTTTAAACTTTTATTAAATCAATTTCATAATACCTTAACTTTAATTCTGTTGAAAATAATCCTACTATATTACTTTGTTCTTATAAACTCCCTAAAATATGCTACAAAAATTTTTGTTTAATTTATTAACATGCAACGTATTAAATTTATCTCAATTTCTAGCAATTTATTAAAAAAGTTAATAATCCCTGCATAAATAATCAAATTTTACAAATCGTTTATTACATGTTACAAATATAAATTTATAAAATGAAAAACATAATTTACACTTTTCATGTTTCTTTTCATGGGAATAAAAAGAAACAACCTTTAACGCTGAATAAAATTATTTCGTTGAGTTTCATTTAATAATATTATATTTCAATAAAAACTTTCCCAAAAAAAAAAAACTTTTATACATTTATTTGTATGTAAAATATAATGAAATTACTGACAGATAAAAAACGAAAAACGCAACCAACAAAAAATCTATATAATCAAATTGTAATCATCAAAAATTCATCATTAAAATCAATCAGTAATAAAAATTCTTGCAGGCAGATTAGTGGGAGTAAAATACAAGTTAAAAATAATAAATATTCAATTACAGATTTCAATTGGTTTGGGGATTTGATGTAACTAAAAGATCAAATTTTGTATAAATTTATAATTAATAATGAACCAAAAAAACGTGGCATTAGATTTTCATAATTAAGCAAAAAAAAAAAAGAGGATAATTTTGTTAAAAATTAAATAGTGAAAAAGAAATGAAAAATTTCACCAACAAACACTCACTAATGACCTAACGACCTTATGGAGTGTGCTTTAAGCATTATCAATTTTTTATTGTATTGAAGTTTTTTATTTAACGGTGGTAAAAACTTGATACTACATAACTAACATATTTTCTAACCTAAAATAATAATAGTAATTATATATAGAAATTTATGAATCATGAAGATTAATACTTCATGTTCAAATAAAAAAAAAAGTTAGTTATGTATGATCAACCTTTCACCTTAGGTTATTTGTTTAATATTTAGTTGATTACAGAAAATTTTTTTGTAATTTAATTTTTGTGGTTTAAACTTCTATTTTATTTTTACAATTTTCTATTGTTCACATTTTACTTACCATTTGGAACGGTGGTCACTTTTTTGGTTTGTACACGTGCCGTTGCATTATTAACCTTTATAGAATATAGAAAAATATATAATGAATAAAATTTTATCAAAAAACATATTTTATATTAAAATAAAATTTGTCAATATTTTAAAACATTTGCTGCTCTTTTATTAATATATATAAAATGTATGAAAATCTCATTAGGAAACATATTGTGTGAAGCTTTGACATGTTTTGTTTAATTTGATTTTAAGGGTTTGAGTTAGTGTGTGTGTGAGTGTTTTTCGGCCAACTCATAATTATGTTTGGTAGTTTTATCTGCAAAATGTTTATTTTTATTTAAAAAAGTTTATAATTAAAAATTAAATTACATTAACTATATTAGAGGGGAAAGGTATATTTAGATACACATACTTATATGAGTACTGAACTGCTGCAGCTGATAAAATAATTAAAATTTAAATTAGATAATAAGTTTTCGGTTTACGGCATTATGTATTTAAATAATATTTCAATGTTAAAGGTACGCAGAGTTAATGGAATTGCAGTAAAGAGGGATCAAGTGAGGTTCATAGGCTTTTTAATGATACTTAATTATATACTGCTGCACTTAGCGAAATAAAATAATTATGAACTAGAACTGAACTGAACTAGATCTGAACTAGAACTGAACTAGAACTGAACTAGAACTGAACTAGAATTGAACTAGAACTGAACTAGAACTGAACTAGAACTGAACTAGAGCTGAACTAGAACTGAACTAGATCTGAAGTAGAACTGAACAAGAACTGAACTAGAACTGAACTAGAACTGAACTAGAAATGAACTAGAACTGAACTAGAACTGAACTAGAACTGAACTAGAACTGAACTAGAACTGAACTAGAACTGAACTAGAACTGAACTAGAACTGAACTAGAACTGAACTAGAACTGAACTAGAACTAGAACTAGAACTGAACTAGAACTGAACTAGAACTGAACTAGAACTGAACTAGAACTGAACTAGAACTGAACTAGAACTGAACTAGAACTGAACTAGAACTGAACTAGAACTGAACTAGAACTGAACTAGAACTGAAAGAACTGAACTAGAACTGAACTAGAACTGAACTAGAACTGAACTAGAACTGAACTAGAACTGAACTAGAACTGAACTAGAACTGAACTAGAACTGAACTAGAACTGAACTAGAACTGAACTAGAACTGAACTAGAACTGAACTAGAACTGACTAGAACTGAACTAGAACTGAACTAGAACTGAACTAGAACTGAACTAACTGAACTAGAACTGAACTAGAACTGAACTAGAACTGAACTAGAACTGAACTAGAACTGAACTAGAACTGAACTAGAACTGAACTAGAACTGAACTAGAACTGAACTAGAACTGAACTAGAACTGAACTAGAACTGAACTAGAACTGAACTAGAACTGAACTAGAACTGAACTAGAACTGAACTAGAACTGAACTAGAACTGAACTAGAACTGAACTAGAACTGAACTAGAACTGAACTAGAACTGAACTAGAACTGAACTAGAACTGAACTAGAACTGAACTAGAACTGAACTAGAACTGAACTAGAACTGAACTAGAACTGAACTAGAACTGAACTAGAATTGAACTAGAACTGAACTAGAACTGAACTAGAACTGAACTAGAACTGAACTAGAACTGAACTAGAACTGAACTAGAACTGAACTAGAACTGAACTAGAACTGAACTAGAACTGAACTAGAACTGAACTAGAACTGAACTAGAACTGAACTAGAACTGAACTAGAACTGAGCTAGACTGAACTAGAACTGAACTAGAACTGAACTAGAACTGAACTAGAACTGAACTAGAACTGAACTAGAACTGAACTAGAACTGAACTAGAACTGAACTAGAACTGAACTAGAACTGAACTAGAACTGAACTAGAACTGAACTAGAACTGAACTAGAACTGAACTAGAACTGAACTAGAACTGAACTAGAACTGAACTAGAACTGAACTAGAACTGAACTAGAACTGAACTAGAACTGAACTAGAACTGAACTAGAACTGAACTAGAACTGAACTAGAACTGAACTAGAACTGAACTAGAACTGAACTAGAACTGAACTAGAACTGAACTAGAACTGAACTAGAACTGAACTAGATCTGAACTATTTTAACAATTAATTCTAGGGGTTTAATTTCAAGATTACAAAGTTGGCTCTGAATAGTTAATTGCCTTTTCTAATAAATGCCCAAATGTAGCTTTTAAGATTAACTTTTATTGGGTTTTAGGCTGTATTCTAATATTTATAGCAAAAAAATCTAAAATAGTTATAAGCAGCCATTAAATATTTGTTGTTATTTAATACCATGAAATAAAATAAACCACATACTACAATAAAATACTTAAATAAAAGCTAAATGAGGACTAATATAAGTTAAATCCTTAAAAGGAGGAAAATTAACATAAAGACTTGGACTAAGACTTGGCACTTTAACGTTGGAATCAATGTAGAAAGCGATTACATCATCATTAGTAGTTTGTTTTATCAATTAGTTATAAGCAATTACAGTGAGTCCATAATTTTTGGAATATTCATTAGTCATTGCAATTAGACAGCCTATTAAAGTTTGACTGAAGTCAATCTTTAGCAACAACGATAGAAAACTAAATACCTCGACAAAATCTGCTAAGTAATAGTTGTAGCTAAACACATACAAAAAGGAGTCATAACAAAAGAAACGGAAAGTCCTTAAATAAAATTAAAACTTGCAATCAACCAACCAACAACAGAAGTAGCAGCGGCTGTAGCAAACAACAAACTGAGTTTTTATTATGGCCTTAAATTTCACTTAGCAAGTCGGGTAATTAACTTTCTTTGTACATTTTTACCACCATTCCTAATGGAGGCCATTAACACAAACTCAAACACTCACATACACAGACATACGCGCAAACCCCAACCCATATAAAAGACCACAACAACAATAGTTTCCCTAGTAATGTTGGTTAAAATAAATTGAAAAAAAAGGAAGACGTAGAAAAAGCCAGTCAGTCCATGCCTCAAATATTACTTACTACCAAGAGCAGCAGCAAAAGAGAAAACAACAACATACATACCACATATTCGCATGAGTTACTTATGGCTAAAAGCAGATTGCAACTTAGTTAAATGATTTTTTCTCCACATTTCTTTTCTGTTCTTATTATACTTTTCTATAATTTTGCAATCATTACTTCGTAGGATAATATGAAGAGGAACAGTAGTTCCCTGCAATACAGGAAGACTGTGACATATTTTACACATTTAGTCACTATACTCATGATTACAAAAAGCAAAAAAACATTTGAAAAAATATTATCTACAACGGAGACTATGTCCACCTTTAAAAGTGCTGGGTTGTATGCTATGTGTTGCTTGTGTGTTGTCATCCTCATTTGCTTTAATTTGTGCCATAATAAGCTTTAGGAATAGTAAATGTTAAAAAAAGACTCAAGCTCAAAAACAAAACTTTTCTTTCATTATACCCAACACATAATATTGCCTTCTTTATTATCCTTAAAGTAGGCAAAAGATAATAACAATTTGAAATTTAAACGCTTATGTAAAGAAAAAACTACAACAAAAACTTTTCCATGAATAAGTTGTTGTATCATAAAAAACTGAGACTTTAAAGCTGCAGTTTATGACATTATTAAAAAAAATAAACTGAAAACAATACATTTATAAGGATTTTTTAAAAATTATCGGGATTTAGTTTATTAGCTGCCTGAAGCCGTAAAGAAAAAAAAGTTTTAAACTATTTTAAGCTGTTGGTAGATTGTTTGGCATTAAGAGCGAAGCAGACACAGATATTGAAAGTTTTTGGTAGCAGGTTGTTGAAATATTTGTTATTAAATAAAATTTTTTGCTAAAACAAATTAAAAGAAACAAATTACTTTCTATTAAATTAAAATAATATTTTTTAGTTTTAAAGAACTGATCGATATTTCTAACGCTTATAATAAAATTATTATACCTTTCATCTCCTGTTAGTGCAAGTGGGTGAAGCTTGAGGACGATCTAATCTTTCAGTTTGAAAAAAGCACCCATTTCTATTAAATCATTGAGTCGATAATACCTTAAGCAAATCTTCGACTAACTTCATTTCACTTTGGTCTTTATAAGTTTTAATCTTTGTTTAATTGAGCCAATGATTTTAAAGTTTCTAATACGATTACCTTTAACTAGTAATTGGTCTAAGTAGTACTAACAGGATTTTGAACATTAAGGAAAAACAAGCTGATTAAACAAAATCTAATTAAATCAAACCAATTCTCAACTCAAGTATTATTTGGTATTCACCCTTTACACCTTCGCTTTACTAACACAAATTAATTTTATATATTAAAATATGCACTTGTTTAGAAAACAGTCATGGGCAGTTTTTCACAAGTGTCATCTGCAAGAAAATTTTAGATAAAATTTCTTTTTATAGAAAATTTTTGACGAATTTTCTTTCTATAGAATACTTTTGATAAATTTTATTTTATAGAATATTTTTAATAATTATTTTTTTTTATATAAAATTTTTGATAAATTTTCTTTTTATAGAAAATTTTTGATAAATTTTCTTTTTATAGAAAATTTTTGATAAATTTTCCTTTTATAGAAAATTTTTGATAAATTTTCCTTTTATAGAAAATTTTTGATAAATTTTCTTTTTATAAGAAATTTTTGATAAATTTTCTTTTTATAAGAAATTTTTGATAAATTTTCTTTTTATAAGAAATTTTTGATAAATTTTCTTTTAATAGAAAATTTTTTATAAATTTTCTTTTATAGGAAATTTTTGATAAATTTTATTTTTATTGAAAATCTTTAATAAATTTTCTTTTTATAGAAAATTTTTGATAAATTTTCTTTTAGAGAAAATTTTGATAAATTTTCTTTTAGAGAAAATTTTTGATAAATTTTCTTTTAGAGAAAATTTTTGATAAATTTTCTTTTAGAGAAAATTTTTGATAAATTTTCTTTTAGAGAAAATTTTTGATAAATTTTCTTTTTATAGAAAATTTTTGATAAATTCTCTTTTTATA